ATCTTGGTCATGAATATATACGTCTTTTAGTGTTAATATTGTTTGACTGCAAGATCTAAAGCAGCAGAAACAAAGACACTTAAACAGGACTCCCGCGGTGCACAAACATTTTTTGGTACAACACCTGTCTCAAAGCAACATGAAACAATGCGAGCATCGAGGTGTAGAGAACTCACCTCAGCTGGGTTGACAGAAAGCTTTAATGCATTTGTGACTGATGTCTTCCTTTTTTTTAAACACAACAAAATAAACTCAGTTTAGTGATCCTTCATTAAAATCCTTACTTTTAGCAATAACGCATCTCTCCATTTTCCAAACAACACATTTGTTGTTTTGTGTGTCCCTAAAATAGGTATGGGCAGCAACAAAGCGCTGCAATGGTAGTTCTGCCTGGTACATGTTTCAGACCGGGGGGGTGGAGGGGGGGGGGGGAACATTCAGCTACCCACCTGGCACATCCTTGGGCACCTCCAGAGAATCACACCCCACAGTTTGAGAACTACATTGTGGCTAAAGCACTTCAACTGTTCAATGGCTCGTTTATTGACAGCAACTTGATGTCGCACCACTTTTGGAAAAATTTCAGGCATGCGACAAGTCTGAAACTGCAACTGATGAACAGCGTTTGCCCTTTTCTGTTGCTTATTTTTAAAGGAATGACTACCAAATAAAATTTTACAGCTTACCTCTTAATACAATTTTAAGTCCCATTGTTTTTTTTGTTTTTTTTTGGCTTGACGACTGCTATGATTATTTGGATAGAAGGTGAAAGCCTCTTGTGTATTTATACTTGTACTATTTGCATATTTACGGGGAGGGGGGGCAGGACAATCCAAGCAGCACGTGCAGTTGCACTATATTTCATGTAGAAATGAAAGGTGCACAAAATATGGGTGTGCACATTTTCATAAATCCACATATTTTTGTATGAACATGCTTTTTCAGATTTTGTCCACATGCCATCTTTTACTATGAAAGCTGCACATATTTTCATACATGAGTTTCTTTCCCTGCCAGTCAAAACACAAGGATTGTTTAAACACCAAAAAGATGGGAGCATTGCACAGAAGCCAGTGAGCTCTGCCCTCTGCCCAGACAGACCAGTTCTAACCAGTGAGAAAGAACTGTCATACATGTTTCAGCCTGGAGACAAACATTTTTCAAGAATCTGATTGAATAACTGTATTTTCATGGATGAAAAAGTTTCTTGCACCACTGCAAAGTAGTTTATGTAAAATGGGAGAAATTTGCAAAAAATAAGAAAATACTTTGAAATAATATTTTTTAGATAAAATAAATATTAATAAAAAATGTCTACGCAACATGTCATGCTGAATTTATGGACCTTCTCAGAAGGTGTAGAAGGCCCTGAGGGTTCCCATTTACCATCAAAACATTTCTCTTAAAATGTTTTAGGTCAGGAAAGACAAATAAAACAATAGCATATCATCAGTAACAATGAATGCAAGGCTTAAATAACTTCTGATTGTTTACCAGACTGAAAGGTGATTTAATATCCTGAATAGCTTTAAAAAAGAAAAAGTTTGTCTCGAACACTAATTGGGACACATGGTAAATAAAAAATGGCTCCAACTTTCCTTTGAACTTGTTTCAATAAACTCTGCATATTTCTTCTCAACGTGACACCAGAAGCAAAACTGCAAGGCACTAGATATTGAAGAGAACTAATTAGATTCATGTCACTTCCTGTCTTGGCATTAAAAAATTCACCCAGTCTGTCAATAGTGTAGTTTAGTGGTCTTCAAAAAATGTAGCCAGGTCCATCTAATGTTTGTCTCTTGCAATGGTTCAGTAAATATGTTTAAATTCTCTTAAGAGACCACCATGCTAGTTTCATTCACTCACCAAGTTGTCTTTTTAGGCTAAACCTCTACTAGGCCTTGTGTTCACTTTCTGCAGAGAAAAGATAGGCCAGATGAAGGAATTAGCATAAACAACAAAAAACAAGTTGGGCATTTTTTTAAGCCCACCGTTATGAGACCCTGGTGTAGTTTATTAACGTAAAGACTGGTTTACTTCAAATGGGAAATTGTGAACACTTGGTGTTTTACCTACATATTAAAACCACATTCTTTTGATAAAGAAACAGTTTCACAAAACTGTTTTCAGACTACTTTGTTGTCAAACACTTATCTTGGCAAAGCAAGAAGCAAAAATAGAACTCCTGCCCACTATCACTGCTCCATGTTCTCAAGTTGGACGCCTTTGTGGCAGTCTATTCAAGATCCACACGTATCATCTCTCCACATGAGTACCAATCAAAGGGAAAGCCACCACCACCATAGTCCGTGGAGAAAACAGAAACCAGGTGTAACTCGCACAGGGAGTGCTCTTTTCATAATGGCTGTTTGAGTGTGTGTACAATGACAGCAGACGACTCACTGGAGGACAAAGGTAACATTTCTAGTGCCTTTTGCATGTAAATACTGAAAACCTGTGAAAGAGATTACTGTTCTCAGTTCCCATTGTACTGTGTACTAGTTTGATATCTGAACTGCTAGAGTGCATCAACATCAATGAAAAGACACATGAGCACTACGTGGCTCATGTGTTATTGTTGGAGAGACAAAAATAGTTTCCCCACAACAAATTTAGTACTTGTTCTGCAATCATTCAAAGTTTGTAACATTACGGAAATCTGTTCTGCAAGGCCAAAGAAAAACTAAAAACAATAAATGAATGACCTAGCATGAAAGAATGCATGTCGTCCGTTTCATTTCAGAGCTGGAGACAAAGATCATGCTTTGATAAGAAGGGACAGTTGTAGCATTTTGGTCAAATCTTGTAAATGTGCGATATCACGCAATATTGCAAGATCTAACAAGATATGTTAGTCCTGGGAGTATGTGTTGAATATGTATAACTAACAGCTACTACCATACATAATTTTACCTCAGGGACTGCCGAGAAAGGGTCTTTCAATTTTAATGCGGTCCAAAGTGTGTACCACCACAAATGTTATATCAAAACGACCGGCTCGGCACCGTGATGTGTGCTATTACTTTTATTGGAGTTTAGAGTTACTATGGTGGTGTAATTTGCAAAGAAGACACAATTTTTCTCATTGAAAAAGCCTGACAGAACTCTCAACAGCTTCTAACAACCACAGTGAGGTCACATGACCTAGAGTGGAGAGGTCTCTGAACAAAACACTGACTGATAAAGATGGCTGCCGTAGCTACCTGAGAAAACTCCAAATTGACTTGTGTGTCTTTGGGATATTGAGCTGAAATTGGGTATGGTGGTAGCTGAGAGCGAGTTGTTATTCAATCCTAATGCAAATTAAAAATCCAAGATGGTCACCTTAACTAAAAGGTAAAAAAAAAAAATATGACTCATCTACTTTAAAAAGTATTGAGCTGAAATTTGGTGTAGTGGTACATGAGAGCGATGCACAACACATTCTAAATTCAAATCTAAAAATGCAAGATGGCCACCTGAGCTACGAAGGAAAAAATACTATAAATCAGCCATTTTTAGAGATCGTAAACTTAATTTTGGTTTGGTGGTAAATACTGTGGGTGGCTGTGGCTGAGTGGTTAGAGCAGTCGTCCTGCAATGCAAGAGTTGGGGGTTCGATTTCACCAGCAGTAACATGCCGAAGTGTCCCTGGGCAAGACACTGAACCCCTCATTGCCTCTGATGTGTGTCCCATTGGTGTATGAATGTGATCTAAAGTATCGATTATTCTTTGTATATACAGTTGTATATAGCAGAGTGCTGTATGAGGGAATAGATTGTAAAGAGCTTTGAGTACCTTGATAAGATGGGAAGGTGCTGTATAAGTACAGTCCATTTACCATTGAACTCAAAAATCCAAGATAGCCATCAAAGCTACATGTAAACGGCTTTAACTCGGCTACTTTTACAAATACCGAGCTGAAATTTGGTGTGGTTATAGCTGAGAACGTTCCCCATCACATACTGAATCCAAATCAAATATCCAAGATGGCCACCATAGTTTAAAATGAAAAATTACTATAATTCATTGACTTTTTTTGTTGTTGCCATATTTAGCTGAAATTTGGTATAGTGGTAGTTGAGAGCAAACCCCAACACATAGTACTGTCAAATCAAAATTTTGAAATGGCTGCAAATGTGGCAGTTTGTATCAAAGTTTCTCTAGGAACTTTCTTGTTAACTGTAAAATTGCCTTAGACATTATATGTTTGCTAATGTTGCTTAGCAAACACAGTTTCTGAGAGTTTCATTAAACTCCATCCAGTAGTTCTCAAGATAAGTTGCTGACAGACAAAATCTCACAGAAAGACACCGGCAAAAATGACACAAGCCTTTTCCCCTTGGCAGTAGGCAATAAATATCTATGAAGCTCATCAAACAATGAAGATGCCAAGTTGTTGCAAGTGAGACCTGGGTCACTGTAGAGTGTTTAGTGAAAAATAAGCAGTTAATTCTTAAGGTGCCACAATATTGGTGCAACGAAGTGATGAGCCTTTTCACTCCATCCTCTGTTCCAGAGACGACGTTAATCAAACAACAGTCAAACAGTATTTTAGCTATTGTGTATTTAGGATGACCTGCTCTGCTGTCAGTGATGTCTGACATTTTAAGTGTAGAAACATGCTCAAATTAGGGATCTTTGTGAGTTTGATTTCTCTCTTTAGACACAAGGTTTGATAAGAGAGGTGTCATCATTTGACCATAAAATAAATTGGGCCTTTTGCCAACTAGAAGTCAGATTTAAACGGAAACCAGTCAGCGGAACTCCGAGAACTCAAACAAGCGTGCATGACGTGAGAAAGAGATGAGGTCATCTCTTGTATTAAATAGGCTTCTGTTTAGTAATTGCTTTAGACATCTCCATGAACTGCTTGACTGTCTACTTTTCTTAGTAGTTTTAACAGAAAAAGGAAAACAACTATCCTGTCTGAACAGCAGACCTAATAAAAACGGTCTTACAAGCTCATAGCAAGCTGTGGGTAAACACTGCTGAAGAGAAAGATTGGAACAGTTTTTACCTTGTGTTCTGATGCCAAATGGAGGCAAGTAATAGCTGATTTTTCCTAGTCGTTTGAAGTTTCGATCAAGAAACATTGGAGCTGATTTTATGAACCTGTAAAAGAGAAAAAATTGTGAAAATGTTTCCATTAGCCAAGCTAAAAGAAAATCTGCCATGCATTTTGACTAGCGATGTTTCATTGTTCACGCTCTCACTCCCACCTAGTGACAATTGAAAGTTTCATCCAAAAGACTTCATCAGTCTGAGGCCTGCCAACAAGATCTGTCTTATAAATAGCACCTCCTTGATGTGTTTCAAGCCAGCCTGCTGAGGAATTCACAGAAACTGGCTTTAGACGTGCAAAAAAGGGACATCCGTCCAAAACAACTGATCATCATGTACAACAATCAAATGTTTTATGCCAGCTGCCTAACTTGCTACTCACAGAAACAGCCTGAGGACACCAAGGCCAAAATGGTTCAGAAAATTTAAAGTAGATTTATTGTCATTTCACCACATGTGGTACATGAGGTGGAACAAAATTTTGTGCACAAGGTCCCAGTTACAAATATAAAAAGTGTAAAATATATAATATACAGTATATAATATATATATATATATATATATATATATATATATATTGTTTATTTATTTATATATATATATATATATATATATATATAAAAGTATAAAAAGAAACAGTATATAAGGATCTCAAATATACCATACCATTTTATTTATAGAGCACTTAAAACAGCGACAAGGCCAACCAAAGTGCTGTACAGACAGAACAACAGGCAACTCACAAAGCAAAATACAAAATGAGGTAAATCAGAATATAGACATAAAAACGATGCAAATAATAAATATGACGACTAACCTGTGTGGAGCATACAGGTTCAAAACACAGATCATCTGGTGATGAAAGCTACAGAATAATAGTGAGTTTTTGAATGGGATTTGAAAACTGAGAGGGAGGGGGCCTGTCTGACAAGCAGAGGTAACTCTTTCCAAAGTCTTGGTCCTGCTACAGAGAAGGCCCTGTCACCTCTGCGCTTAAGACGAGTTCCTGGAACTGTGAGGAGCAACTGGTCGCTGACCTCAGGGAACGTGCAGTGAGGCCAAGACTGGTGTAATGTGCTCTCTTTTGCCTGTACTGGTTAAAAATTGGGCTGCTACATTCTGGACCAGTTGTAGTCGTGCAATGGAGGTCTGAATGATGCCAAATAGGAGCGAATTGCAGTAATCAAGCCTAGATGTAATGAATGCATGTATTACTGTCTCCAGGTTCTTTTTGGACAATATGGGCTTCAGTTTAGACAGCCGCCTCAGTTGGAAGAAACATGATTTAACAATCATGTTTACGTTACTGTTAAGTTTCAGGGAAGGGTCCATTATCACTCCCAGATTAGTGACTCTTTGTTTTTCTGACAGGGTTAGAGTGGAAAGGTTGATGCAGTGGTTTGTGATTGTGTCGTTGGGAGGGAACAATATGACTTCAGACTTCTTTTCATTAGGTATGTTTACATGGACATAAGTAACCGGATCAAATGGCTGGTCGGAATAAAAGTGTGTCATGTAAACACTCCGTTCAGGTTATTTTTTGTGTATTCGGCGCAATCCGATATCATTTGTGATCAGAACAAAACGGGTGGTTTACGCCGATCCGTAACCCGATCGGTGCGCATGTAAACATGATCTGTAATCTGTTCGTTTTTATCTGATCGTGAAAAACTGACCTGACTGCGCATGTGCGACTTTGCCATTTCCGCCTGGCTAATGCTAATAATTTTAGCATGTCAGGGAAGCAAAACTGGTCGATGAGCGACACAACATTTCTACTAGAAACTTTCAAAGAGCTCAAAATGATCTGTATCACCTGTAGCTCCGTCAGGGAGTGCAGCAACGTCTCCACCAATATTAAAACCTGTCGCGGGTCCATTTTGGGTGCTCAGGTTTGTTTACGTTCACCCCGGAAGTAGAACTTCTTCTTCTGTGTTTTTTTAAGGAGAGTTTACCACCCTGCGCATGTCAGTACTGCTGTTCAGAACAAAGCCCGCTGCATGTAAACGCTTGTCATGAACAGATTGTGCCCATGTAAACAATACATTTGATTTATTTAATCTGAAAACATTTCAATCCGGTCAAAAAATGTTGCGCATGTAAACATAGCTACTGAAACTTAAGAAATTTAAAGCCATCCAGTCCCTGATGTCAGCCAGGCAGTCGAGCAGAGGTTGAATATAGCATGTACCATTGTGTCTTAGGGGGAAGTAAATTTGACAGTCATCGGCGTAGAAGTGAAAGGGTATGTTGTGTTTCTGGAAAATAGCACCAAGTGGCAGCAGGTATAAAGAGAATAGGAGGGGACCCAGGGTGGACCCCTGCGGAACCCCCCATTTAAGCTCTGCAGAACTAAAATCCTTGATGGAGACACAAAAGTATCCGTCAGCGAGGTAAGAGATGAACCAATTGAGGGCTGACCCTGTGATGCCCACCCACTGCTCCAACCTAGCAATGAGGATCTCATGTACACAGCTCATATACACATATGCATAAAAAGTTTTGAAAACTCAATCATCCAAGAAGAAATGTGTCCAGATGACATGATTTAACCCTTTGTTGTGACTTATCTACCTGGATGATTGAGCTTAAACCTTTTTTCTAAACCATTTTGGCCTTGGTGTTCCTCAGGCTGTTTCTGCGAGTAACAAGTCGGCCATCAGGCCTAAAACATTTGATTGTTGTACATGATGACTAGTTGTTTGGACAGATGGTCCCTTTTTGCATGTCTAAAGCCAGTTTCTGTGAATTCCTCAGCACATCAAGGAGGTACTATTTATAAGACAGATCTTGTTGGCAGGCCTCAGACTAATAAAGTCTTTTAGATGAAAGATGAAACATTTCTCCCAAAATGAAACTGTCCAGAGGATGTGATTTAAACCTTTTTTGTGAAACCAGACAAAACTGTCATTAGTTTAGAAAATAAAACTACAATGAACTGGGTCATTTTAAGATGAAATTTAAAGAGGTTTGTGCCTGAAACGTACCAAAAAAAAAAAGTTTGCCGATGACAAAGAACACATAGAATCAACTGCTCCAGACAAATTAAAAAACATTAACTAAAAACTGGTTGGGTGCGGGATGTGGTGCTGAGAAACGTGCATGTGATCAGTGTTTTCAATGGCCCCTGAACTGCTTCTTCCAGCTTCACCTTTTCCTTATCCTGTGTGTCCATGGAAGTGTGTATGTGTTTCCTTGATTAATCACAGCTTCAAAACCCAAAGAATCCATTTCCTTTAACTGACTGCAGCGCCTGTGACCTGAGCGCTCGGCTGCGTGCCACTTCTGCGCGTGTGACTTCAGGATGGATGTGTTTTTATGACCTATGGCAGGGCTCTGCAACCTGCGCCTCTGGAGCCACGTTCGGCTCTTTGGTGCCTCTGCAGGGACTCTGTCATGCTTTGACCAAAGCGACCAGAAAACTAAATTTTATAGGTTTTTATACCAACAACAAAAAAAGGCTAGTTTTAGCAAGTTTCTCTGTCATTTCTTAAGCAAATATGCAAAACCTAGAACTAATCTAAGGAGTAAAACATACTCACTTTAACTTTATGCTTTATTTCTTCAAAGCAGGATATTTAATTTTTCCACAATTAAAAAATAACTTCGGTCTGCATAGTTCATAGTTTTGTTTTTTTTAATAAAAAAAAAAAAAAAAGTAAAAACAAATGTATTTTTCCCTTTCTTTACAAAAATCTGGTGTTTTCTTTTGTCTTAAATTGTAAACATATCAATAAATGTTACAAATGATTAGAAATTTTTTGTTTTTTAATGTCATCCTTACTGGCCAGAAAAGTCTACTCCAACAAAACCTAAAGTGGCCCATGGGCCACCAGTTGATAATAGAGCTGTCATTTCTAACCAGAGCCCTAAGCCCCGCCCGATCCAAATTTGGGGCGGGCCGGACCATGATAATGTGCTGGATGGGCAGGCCGGGTCGGTGTTGGGCTTTTAACTGGGTCAGGATCAGCCGCGATCTAATTATATGGTAACATGGCTTGCCATACTTCACCAGCCGCACACGGCCATTTCAGCGCAAGCTGACCGGCATTGAAAGAGATAAAAAGTTCAGTTGGCAATCCATCGTCCAAATGGACGTTCATTCAGCCGCTGCACTCAGTGGACGCGCAGCCGATGACCCAAACATGAGATCTCAAAGCAGACGTGTCAGAGCAGGGTCCTGTCTGAATAAATCAGAATGCAGCAGAAACAGGGATTTAATGCTCTTTTACAGCCATGAAATGACAAACACCCCCTCAGCTCAGAATCTTCTGCCCCTTTTATTCAACTGCGCGTCTCCGACCGTTAATAACTAATTAAAATTTTTTTTTTTCCAGGTTCGGACCTGTAATTACTGTTAATTCATCAAGTCAGGTGGGGTTTGGAAATGATGACTACGGGCTGGATCGGATTTTTTTTGGCCCGAATGCAACTCTAGTTGATAATCACAATTGCAGCAGGTTTTGCAGCCCCAGACATGTTTAATTTAGTGAACGAAGGCACAAAGTGGCTCTGTTGATGGTAAAGGCGGCAGACCCCTGACCTATGGTGAAATCTGAACAGATGTCAAATAAAAAAGATAGTCTATTTTGTTTCTCCTCTGACGGTCACGTATATAAGAACAGACATGATCCAGTTACTTGTTTCTAGGTATATAATTGTGTAAAAAGTCATGAAGTCATACTGTTCCTACAGTTTAAATTCTTATAAACAGCATCATAGAGCTAGAGTGTTGATGTTTTGGTTTATTTGTTTCCTTCCTCTGTTACCAGACCTGTTGCGCTGAGTTGTGCTTTAATGGTCTACAATAGAACTGCCATTTCTAACCCAGGCCCAGCTCGACCTGATGTTCGGGCCAAAATAATGTGCATGATGGGCGGACCGGGTCAGTCTCGGGCTTTGGATATGGTTTTTTGAATCACACAGCACAAAGAAAACTGAATAAGAATGCACAATGTAAAATTGTGTTAATCTACTTGTAGAGGAGGAGGCAGGTCTGACCGGCCAGATGAAAGAGGGAAAATAAAAGTTGCTTTAAACTCAGATGGACA